TATTACTGGTGGTAATTATTGCTACTGATTATTTTTACTGATCTAATTTTTTTAAATTTTATAAGATTAATATTAAATTACACAGGTCAAAAAATAAAAAATCAGGCATCAATCAGTTACCAATCAGACACCAATCAGTTACCAATCAGCTACTTGATTGATGACTGATTGGTGACTGATTTTTCACTTATCGATCTGTGAATTAAATAATTAATTATATATATTAAATAATTATTTTATATATAAACTTGATTTATTTAAGATCAAAAGGACTATTTTTAAATAATTTTTAAGAAAAATGTAAAATTTTGAAAATAATATAACTGATATATTTTATAAAAATTTGTACTTTCAAATAACGAACTAAAAATTGGAATTTTAACAAGCAAATATGGTTGCATATAATGCTGATTAAATTCACATTTTGTAAATTAATTTGATTCAGCAATTTAAAATTTATTATAGCTTCTAACTCATCATCAAGGCATTCTTTAATTGAAATTCATTTATATATATTTGATATTTTTTTACTTGTTTATATATATTAACTTTTAATTTTTTTCAAATATATTTAAATGTAATATTAAAGTTTTATGCTTTTTTATATTGGAATAATTGAAAATATAGGAAAAAAGTCAATTATAAATTAACTAAACATATTTACATTCAAATAAAATTAGTAATATAAATATAAAGTAACTCAAAAAAATTAAATTTCGCTATATTAAAATATTATAATTAAATTATTATTATTATTATTTCTTTAAAAAATATTCATTCAGTTTCTTGTAATTTTTGGATTTAATCAAAAATACCATTTTTAAAAATATATAAGGTTTTCTTAAGATTTATAATATAAGATATTATTTAATATTTAATCTATAATCTATTCAGAAATATATAGATTTAGTTTTATACCACTTTAATCTATATTACTTTGACCAATTTTTTCTATCTTTCAAATATATTAATTAGTTAAGTTAACAATAATAGACACAAATATTTTGTTTCAAATTTTCATTTTTATATTAACTAATTTCCATTAATAATTAATATATGCATTTCTTGTGATACATTAAGTATATTTGATTCAAATAGATGATAATATTTGATAAAATTTTTTACAAATTCTTTCTTAAATATAGTTTCATCTAAAATAAAAGATATAATTAAAAACTTCAACTTTATTTATTTTAATTACATTACTTTAATTTTTTAATTGTATTATTTAATTTATTTTAACTAAAAATCAATTATTACTTAAATTTTTAACCCATCACTTAATTTTTTTTAACTATATATCATTTTAATTTATTTTAACTAATCACTTTAATTTATTATTATATTAGTTACTGTTAAATTAAAATTAATATTAAAAGTGGGTTGCCTTCTAAAATAAGATTAAAAAAACAAATATCATAAATATAAAAAACACAAAAAAAAAAATGATTTGCCACTTATTGATCAGTGGATACTTTACATGGGGTATTGCAAATATATATATAAACTACTGTTATAACTTATAATTAAATTGATTATATTAATAATACTTATCTGATACACACATCAAGTTTAACTATAAAATAAACCAACAAATTAACTTTATTTAACTTCAAATTAGGGAATTTAATCTAGATAAAAAAAATGAAGTAATAAATTAACTTACTTTAAATTAATCAATTGAAATTTCCTTGATTGAGTGAATTGTATTATTAACCATATTTGGGAATTACAAAATCTGGGATCAATTGTAACTGACTTGATTAAAAGTATCCTACTTCAAATTATATTTAAATGAGATTAGTAGAAACAATTACATTGTTATCATTTTTTATTTTACTTTTACTTGCTTTATTTACTTATGAATCTTTCTTTTTTTGATTATAAATAACACACTCACTATCTTTACTGCTCTCGCTGCTCTTATTGCTCATACCCTCATTACATTTAGAGCAGGTAATGTAAACTAACTTTTTGATATCTTCTATTTCATTTCCTGTTATATTTAACAATATCAGTACACTGTTTGTGACTTTGACAATTTAGGTGAACATAAAGGAAAGCCTTTATGTCGTAATAATTGATTTACACGAAAGTGATACTAATCTTTATATATCTGCGCTTTTTGTTCTAAAATTATATGACCATTCATTTCTTTTTACAAATTAGAAAAAAAAGGACGGCCTTTTATAACTTCTATTCCTGAAGGCCATTCTGTGGAAAATCTACTTTATAATACAAGTAATCTTCAATTATATAATGAAGAAGGCGTACCAGTAGCAGGAATATATCAAAATGTACAAAATGATTTTAAATTTTCTCAGACTTTGAAGAGAGTTGACGCGAAAGAATTGGCACTTGCTAGTAATTCCAGCAACAATCCAGACCTTATTACATCTCTTTATAATATAATACCTGACGAACACTATCTGGTAGACTCATCAATCAGAAGGGAGAATTCTGGACAAGTGTTGAAGATGTGGCGATCGATCGACCTTTACTGCTGGCAAAATCAATCAACGATTTAGAACAAGTTATACGGGACGGCAGGCCAGTGAAAATTTCATGGAACTGTAAAAGATTGTCAGGTAAATATTCAATATTATATAATACTATCATTATCTCTTATTAGCTGTAAAGAGATATTTTATCGAAAATTACAATTCACCTGTAGAGACATTTCATCGGATAACGTATAAAGGTATTGTTCGTAATAACAAGAACATTCTTACTAGAATGTAAACACAATATCAATAAAAAAACACATGAATTCAAGAAGGGACCAGGTAAATAAATATAGTAGTACGATAATATAAATAAAAATATAGTACGGTAAAATAAAGTTTTTATTATAAATAATAATTAATAAATGTAATTCGGTAAATACAATGTATAATAATAAAGTTTTTTATTGTAATAATTAATGAAGTCTTTTTTACATTGTAAACAATCGAAAATAATGAACGACATATCTGATATTGTAAAAAATGATCCTGTGTAGAAAGATGAGCCACATCTATAGCTGTAAAGCCACAATAGCGAGAACGTTTACGAATCTTCATTAGTGCGTCTATTATAAAATGGAAAATTTTGATCGCAGTACTACATATTCGAAAGCGAAAACTAAGAGAAAATGAAACACCCAAACATTGTCAAGAACGAATTGCTAAGCAATGTGAGAAAAATCCTTCCGTTATAATTTCTCTGGGCATTTAGGAATTATCGTCAAAAAAGAGCGGAAGAACGAGACGCGCATCGTGCACGTGAGCGCGAACGAAAACGGCTAAAGTTAGCGGTAGAAACCAAGAACGAGCCATTCGAATCACAGAGCCGAGTAACAGGGTCGCAACAAGATCGAGCCATTAATCTGCAGAATCAGGTCGGAATGGCGAAAATGTACATGCAGCATTTCCGCTTCTGTTCTCACTAAATCTAAATCTGAAAAGGGTCTTCTGCGAAAATTTTGTAATAAAGTGGATAAAATTCTTTTTGCCCGGTATGCAAAGAAATTTTCCATTTATAATACTTGTACAAGGGGAATGTTGTTGCTGTTGCAAAGAAAAGAAACCAAAAAAATTTCCATCAGAAAATGATATGGATCCAGGCGAGCCTGAAGATCTCCAAGGACTTAACCGCACGAGTTTTCCTGTAATTATAGTTTACACTTTACAGGTTTCGTGGAGGAAAGCATGGATACCGCGGAAACGTAATAAACTTTCCCCAAAATGTGCAAGAATTTCGCCACGAATCCATCGTCATTAGAAGTACTTGTTGTACATTGCCAATCGGCTAATAGCCCGGCAGGATTTAGAGATTTTAAAGTACATCGTGCTTAAGGTCGCTCGTGCATTATGTTGGTTAAAAGAAAATAATCGTTGTTACAAAAACATTATAAATTATAACCGATAATGAAATTCTTCAATCCTTGCTGAAGATTTGGATCATGTGATCACGTGTATCTCCGTTCCAGTTCTTTCTTTGGTTCATCCCATCAATGGATTTCAAAAACCAGGAAATATTACATATGCATTCTCAACTTTATAGCACAGATCTTTGCGCAGAGCGTATTAAAGATGTAAAATTCGAACAGAGAACTTCAAACATCATTTTCTACACGCCGTCTATAAGATTAACCTCATTTGGTATCATGCCATTCTCGTTGGCGAACACTAAAAGAAGGAAAGGTGCATGTTAAACAAAACCTTACCAGATACAGTCAAACCTCGATGTAACGATACCCTATATACCGATAATTGCATGTACCGATAAATTTTCTCTGTCCTATTTCACAATACAGTAACATAATTTTACAAACTATGTCAAAATTCAAGGCCAAAAGTAAATAAAGCATTTATTATGATTTAATTTTCTGTCATTTAATAACAAATAATTGTTATTTAGTTTCGATAATTCACAAAAAAGTAAGGAAGATTGGAAATATTTATAGTGAGTTGACTTAATAAAAGATAAATAATATTTTCAAAATTAATTCTATTTTAATAGAGATCAAAACCAATGAAATCAGTATTCAAGAAATAAAAACTAAGAGACCCGAACTTTCAACGTTGGTAATTCCTAATAAAAAATGACGCATAGGAAAATTCATATCAAATTTATTTGGATTTTCAAGCTTTAATTTAAAGAAAATTTGAATTTGTCTGAAATTTCTGGGCTGCATTTTACCATATCTGATTGTTTTGAAATTTTATTACTATAGGACTAAACATTATTATTACTTGCCATTTCTAATGCGAATATGATAAAACCCGGACATAGCATGCATAAGACGTACGCTTTGGTACACTCAAGTTTAAGTATAATTTAAAATTCCTCATTTAATCAACAAAAGCGGTGTGTACCAAACCGTATTTTTCATAAGTTTATCAAATTTTGAGCGCGATATGCTGATTAACAAGTTAGTTTTAGATAATGAATCGTTTCTTACAGTATAAAATTTCTTGATCCGTACGTATTATGTGCGGGTCAAGATTCAAGAAGTTTCATTTCTTAGTATTGAAACTATTAGTAAATAAAAAATTAAAATCAAGCTCATCGGGAGAAAATTCACCAACAAACGCAACTACAGCCTATAACATCATTATTAGATAAATTCACAATAGAAACTTTAAAATTGTAGTTTGTTTTAGGTAAAGTCGCCGGTACCGGAACTGGTACTTTTGCAGTCATTTCTGTACCTGGTAAAACTGGACACTCGGTGTACTTACAAACGTCACGCAAATTAATCGAATTCTTTTTTTTGTAGGTTTCAGGAATTGCAATTTGCAAATTCAGCCACGACTTTAGTACTAGTGGTAACTTCTACATTAAATTTTGCATCAATAGTAAAAGTGTCATTTTTTCCAGCAATAACAGGATCAGGCGAAAGTACTACATTGAGTAAGACTGTTTCAGGAGGAGCCTTAGAACATGGTCCAAAGGTATTAGTTCTATTATAAAGTTGATGTGGAATAGTATTGACTGTGGAAAGAGTAGCCAATAAACTCACAAAAATAAAATTTCTGTTCATGATTTTTTTGTGAAAATAATTTTGAAATATCTTGTTAAAAGTTATATATTTATGGATGAAATTATCGATGATTTAGCTTCACTTTTTGTATGTAATAAAAACGATTGTACTCCGTCAGTTAAAGATTCGATTTTTTAGGTAATAATGTACAAAAAATAAATATCATTTTCTTTTTTTTAAATGATATTTTGCATTGACTTTAATACAGCATAATTTGTAATTATTCGTTAAAAAAGAGAAAATAAAGTATTTTTGCCATTTCAGTGGCTTTTTTAGTTAGCCTTCAATTGATAAAACCAAATAAAACTAACACGAAAATAATCATTCATTTGTGAAAGAATCATAAAATTATATTTCCGCAGGTTACGGCACATTTCGCTGAAGCCATTTTGCTGAAAGGATGTTTTGCCGAGAGGATGTTTCACTGAAAGGACGTTTCGCCGAAAGTGCATTTATCGAATCCATTTCACCATTTCACCATTTCGCCGGATTCCATTTTGCGCCAATACTGTAAATAACTGCTAATTTAAATTTATTAACAGTTAATCGATTTATTTCTTAATTTTTCAATAAAAAAGAAATTACATATTAAAAGCTTTAAATAGTCTGATTTAGTCTAATTTCAGATCAATCAAACAGAAAAAGTTTAATAATTTACTATCCAGTAATTGAAAAAGACAAAATATAGCTTATTGTAATTATCTTATTAAAATAGTTTGAATGGTAGTAAAATCACATTTTTAGCATTGATAAATAGTGAATTAAATTTAACAGAATTCATTAAGTCTAGCTTGCCATCTATTGATACTAAAAATATGATTTTAGTATATCCATATAAAAAAATTAGGGTAAATTTAGATCTCGCACCCATGTGTGATGTTTAAATCTCGCCTTTATTCCAAAAAGGATATTTTGTATGCTGATCATTTAATTCTGGCCAGAATTAAATACGTCACGTGATTTAACGGGAACCCCCCAAAAAAAGTTTGTCAAATAAGTTAAAAATGACATTCAAAACCATCTTTGATATTTTAAGTAAACTTGCAGATACACATAGTAGACATTTTTTAAAAAAGTTTGTATATTAATTAAGAATTTCTTTTTTGTTACAAAATGTGAGATTTTAATATCATCAATCTTATTTTAATCACTAAATGTTAAGTTACTAAACTTTTTCTATTTAATTCTAATCAATTAAAAATAATTTAAAAATCTAAATTAAAATTAAATCCATTATTTTATATTTATACTTAACTATTTTAAATAAAATATCTTATTATTGCAAATATTATTTTTATATATTATTTAAGAAAGTATTAGACTAGTTTTCTTCCTATGTGATTTAACTCAAATAACATCACCTATGTAAAATTAAATCATGTGAAGCTGATATATATGTATATTACATTACTCATAAAAAAAATAGTAGATTAGTTAGGATTAGGGTTAGGTTAGGGTTAGGGTTAGGGATTTAGAGATTTAGGATTAAGAAATTAGGATTAGAATTAGAATTAGGATTATGGTTAGGGAACTAGGATTAGGGTAAGGTTTGGGTTTGCTAGAGTTGTTAATTTGATGATGTCATTTTAAAGATTGAAATTTACAGTTATAAAAGTTATAAAAGTTATAAATTTTAATTTTTAGTATAGGTGACGTCACTTAAGTAACATTTTACAAAAAGAAAATTAGTAAAATTCTTTAAGAAAATATTTTTACAAATGAATAGAACATTACAAAGTTTAACCAAATGGAGTTTTATATTTACCAAATGGCAGTATTTAATAAGTATTATTACTGTATTATCATATGGTTATATATAACTAATTAACCATAACATGTTTTAATTTTAGATATTTTTTATAGTATATTGACTAAAGTTTATTCATAGATTATAATAGTAATGCCTGCCTAAATTCTTTTTGCCAAAAATTTCTGTTTCGTCACTAACTAGTTTTGGTTTCGTTATTGACTAAATTATATAATAATAATTTTTAATTTTAGTTTTATTATAAAAATATATAAAATTAATTATATTTATAATAGTTTTATAAATTCTTTTTAAAAAATATTACAGTCACCACTGGCTATAACGAACCTTCCGTTCCAAGAGATTTGGTTCGGTATATAATGAATTCGATATGTAATATTTGTGTTATATACCGAACTGTTCGGTATATAAATTTTATCCAATAAAATTATAGATCATGATATTTTATAATTATTTTAATTTTATAACGTACTACAGTAATACAATTTTATTTAATTTTGTGTGACAATATTAACTTTAACGTTTATTCAAATAACATTATCGTATCGAAAGTAATGAAGATCAACCTGTTTTAAATTTTTTACAATCAATACCTTCACTTTTTTATGCAATCTTCTTAAAATTTTCAACTCTTTATTTACTTTCCCGAATTCTGGTCCTTGTTCATATAAAAATCTTATGGTTTTATCTATAGTCTTTTCTACCTCTGTTGGACTTATTTTCTCTATTATATGCGTTAATTCAATCTCATCCACCACATTTTCCTCTTCCCTATTTGCATTTCGAATAGTATCAACTATTTCATGATCAGTAAGCCCACCCTCTGGTATCTCGTCCTCAATATGAAGATATTCATATGTATTAAGATCACTTTTTGTAAACTGAGAAATCAACACCTCAAGTTCATTGATTTCTATATCAAAACTAAAAAAAGAATTGATTTTAAGAGTTAATTAAAAATATTTAAAATTCAAATAGTATATTAAAAAAATTTATACCTATCAGAAAGTACCGAATCATTATCATCAGATAATTCTTCAAATTCATCACTTTGTGGGAGGATACCTGTTTTCTTCCAACAGTTTGAGATAGTTTGAGAAGTTACCATTGACCATGCTTCAGCCGCATTCTGGAGAGCATCATAAATAGTATAATCTGCAAGTTCTTCCACAATACCATCCTGCACATCATCATATGCATTAATCTGATTTTGAAGAAAGAGACGTTTGTAATGGCACTTGAATGAATGAATTATTCCTGCATCACAAGGTTGAAGTTTAGTAGTAGTGTTTGGTGGAAGGAATTTTACATCTATACTATCTAACTTTTCTTGAGTTTCATCTAAAATAATATGTACTGGAGCGTTATCAACTAAAAAAACAATTTTTCGATTTTTTCTTCTCATTATTTCATTGAGTTTAAAGAGAATATCATTGAAAATGCTAACTTGCATCCATGCTTTTTTATTCCAAAAATAATGAACTGGAAGATTTTTATGATTAATATTTTTCATGACACGAGGTGTTTTGTATTTATGAATAAAAGTTAATGTCATTTTTTCACTACCAGTTGCATTTGTTGCACAAAATATTGTAACTCGGGATTTTTCTTTTTTATGGCCTGATAAAGAATTGCGTACCAAAACTCTAGAAGGTTCCATCTTCCAGAATAGGCCAGTTTCATCGCCATTCTAAATGTCTTCAGAATTATAAGTTGTAAGGAACTGCTGAAGAGCAAGACGATCTCTTTCTATTGATTCAGCAGAAGGTGCACTTTCAGCCTCACCCTGCTTTTTAAACTGACGCAAACCATGCCGTTTTTTAAAGCCACCTAACCAACCCTCTGAATGATGAAAATCTTCTATAGAAAACTGTTCAGCAAAATAATTTGCCTTCATTTTTAAGATATTGCCATCAATATTTTGTTTAGTATTAAGTGCATTATCAACCCAAAGGCCAAGCGCGTCTTCAAGTTAAGGCCACTTTGGTCCACGAAATTTTTTAACATTCTCTTGACTTTCTGTAATTGTAAGCCAACGTTCACTCTCTTTCAAAATGTCAGTAATTGTTGACTTTCCAACGTTATATTTTTGCGCAAGTTCAACATTTTGAATGTGCGGATCTCTTTCCTTCATTTCACAAATCTCGTGCTTTTGACCAGCGGAAAGGTTAACTCTCTTTCTTTTTGTTGACATTATCAGTATTTTTGAAAATTTATCCGAAACTAAACGGAAAAAAATTTTTCCAGTAAAACCGTATAACGCGACTAACGATAACGCGTTCATACTTTTATATTATTAATTAAAGTCACGTGACAGTTCGTTATACTAAATATGTAATTGATATACTTGGGCTGGTTACAATAAGTTCAGATGCGATATATGGTAATTTATTATGTGATTTTGTTACATCCAGTGTGATTAATTATAGAAAAATCAGTTCTGTGGGACTTAGTTCAGTACAAACAGTTTTCGGTACAAACAGGTTCGTTATAACCAGTGGCGACTGTATATTTTAATAAAAATTTATTTTTTTAAGTAATTATTATAATTAAAAATCCATGAAAATTTATGAAAAATCTATAGAAATATTATGAAATATTGAATTTTAGTATTTTGTCTTTTAATTTTAAATGTTTAAACTATTTCAATTTTGTCAAATGACTAAATATTTCAGTTTCATCCAGCATCTCTAAATTATAGTATTAAATATAATTGTTTGTTGATTTAACACATGCAACTTGTTGAACAGCTTGTGTTTCTTGATTTGTTAAAGTAGTATAAACAAATATTTTTTTATCCTATAAATGATAAAATATATTATAATAAAAATTTTTTAATATAAAGTAACAATAAGAAAATAAAGAAAATACCTTTTTTTTGATGTGGTATTTTCAAGAATAGAGAAATAAATAAAAAAAAAAATTTATTATTTGATTTAAATAGATTTTACTAATAAGTTATAATAGGCTTCCTGTTATGTCAATGCTATATTATAATATATTATTAAAAATTTGCATTTATTAAATAATAAAAAAATAAATTGCAATATTTTATTATTTATTAAGTATTTAATTTTTTAAGCATTTTTTTAATACTTTAATTTAATATTATAAGTACTTTTTTAATACATCTTACATTTAATAAGTGCTATTTATAAATATTTAATAAATACTTTAATAAATATTATAATATTAACCATCCTTTTATAATTGCAAGAATTATATTATCTAA